GCAGAAGGATCGCTGGAGCCCAGCAGGTCGAGGCTGCAGTGGCCGGGAGTGGCCACTGCAATCTAGTATGGGCGACAGAGTGAGACTCTAACTCAAACAAACAAACAAAAACAAACAAACAAAAAAACACTCAGAGATATCCTAAATATGTTTTAAAGCCCTCAAATAATCCCAACAGAAGAGATAAAGCACATAAGTAGGGAACTTTCAAAAGCAAAAAATTATGGCCAGGCACGGTGGCTCACACCTGCAATTCAAGCACTGTGGGAGGTGGAGGCAGAGGCAAGAGGACTGCCTGAGCCCACAGGTTTGAGATCAGCCTGGGCAACATGGTGGCGCCTGCCTGTAGTTCCAGTTACTTGGAAGACTGAAGTGGAAGGATCACCTGAGACCAGCAGGTCAAGGCTGTGGTGGCCATGAGCAGTGTGCCACTGCACTCCAGCATGAGCAACAAAATGAGACTCAAACTCAAAAAAAAAAAAGAGCTGGGCACAGTGGCTCACATCTGTAATTCCAGCATTTTGGGAGGCTGAAGTGAGAGGACTGCCTGAGCTCACAGGTTCGAGACCAGCCTGGGCAACTTGGTGAGAACTCACCTCTACAATAAATAAAAACTAGGGTTGGGCATGGTGGCTCATGCCTGTAGTTCCAGCTACTTGGAAGGCTGAGGTGGAAGGATCACCGGAGTCCAGCAGGTTGAGGTTGCCACTGCACTCCAGCCTAGGCAATAGAATGAGACTCCAACTCAAGAAAAAAAAAAAGACAAAAGAAAAAGAAAAATGATGACAGATGTAAATCTCATTAACAAAAATAACACTTTAAAAGTAAAACAGGAGTGACATTCTGTTTTTGCCCTAGCAACCTGAAAAATGTATGTCCAGACTGTGAGGAAACAGACACTCCTTAAATGTGTGCTATTCTAGAAGGGAGTCTGGCAAAATATAGGAAAATGTAAAGCATTTCTCTATCTTTTTGCAATTCCTCCTCTAGGGATTTACACCGAGAAAATAATCAAAGAGGTGCACAAAGATCTTCAAATGGCACAAGAATGCTGACCTTGTACAACCAATGACTGACAGAAAGTCAGTGACACAATTCACGATCCCTAGCATTCCCCTGCCAGTCTGTAACCACCCTCAGAGTTCCAGGTGGACTATATTCAAACTCAGAGCATCAAAATGAAGAAATGACTACTGAGCACTAATGATGCCCACAATATTGGATGGAGACCGCAGAAGGGTACAAACACACCAAGACGGGTGCCACCAAGATGGCACTTTCTGAGGCATCTTTATTTTCTTGTTTTTTGAGTTGGAGTCGCACCATTGCCCAGGCCATGCTCACTCACAGCCACGACCTGCTGGGCTCAGGTAATCCTTCCGCCTCATCATTCCAAATAGCTTGAACCACTGACACGCACCACCATGCTCAGCTAATTTTCTGATTTATTGTAGAGATGAGATCTCGCCATTTTGCTCAGGCTGGTTTCGAACCTCTGAGCTCAGATAATCCCCTGGTCTTCTCTCCCAAAGTACTGGGATTACAGGCGTGAGTCACTGCACCCTATTTCTATTTTCTATGTATTTTCTACAGTAAGATTTTTTGGCAACAAGCAAATGTTGCCTTTAAAATTAAAATAAGGTACTTTAACAAGGGAAAACATCCTCCAAAAAGAACCACTCTAGAAATTAGCTTCACACCTGTAACATCCATAATGGATGCCACCCATGGCTCACATCCCTTCCATTCTGCCTTTATTCTTTTATTAGTAAATTTGAAAGCACAAAGAACTCATTCCTCAGAGGCTCTCCTACACCCTTTTCCATGGGGAACTCCTGCTCTGCTGCTTTGAACCAAATGAGGACTTATCTTCAGCAATTGTCTCAGAGCAGTTATCAGAGGAGGACTTTAAAAATCATAAAACTGGTTTATTAAGAAAGTTGCTAAACAAAAATTTAAAAACACCTTTTCTAAGATTTTCATCTCAACTTTGTTATGCAGATACAGCAGGGAAGCTTAAACAAAGAATCACCAAGGAGAAGCAGCAGCAAGTCTACAAACCACTTGTTATTCCTAATGAAAATAATAATTTTAGCCAGGCTCGGTGGCTCAACCTATAATCCCGCGCCTTTGGGAGGCTGAGGTGAGTGGATTGCCTGAGCTCGCAGGTTCGAGACACGCCTGGGCAGTGAGACCTCATCTCTACAATAAATCAAAAAAAAAAAAAAAATCAGCCGGGCATGGTAGCGCACACCTGTAGTTCCGGTTACTTGGAAGGCTGAGGCGGAAGGATCACTGGAGCCCAGCAGGTCGAGGATACGGTGGCCGGGAGCAGCCACTGCACTCCAGTCTGGGCCACAGAGTGAGACTCCAACTCAAAAAATAAAAATAAGCCGGGCTCGGTGGCTCAGCCTGTAATCCCGTGCCTTTGGGAGGCTGAGGTGAGTGGATTGCTTGAGCCCGCGGGTTCGAGACCCGCCTGGGCAGGCGAGACCTCATCTCTACAATAAAAAATCAAAAAATTACCCGGGCGTGGTAGCGCACGCCTGTAATTCCGGCTACTCGG